GCCTGTGCTCCTGCAGAAAGTGGGAATGAGCTGAAACTGCCTGTCTGGGATAATCATACAGGCAATGGTAAGTAAAGTGTTCTTCTGCCTCAAAATGTTTCATAGGACCATTAACAAATTCTCAGAAGGTCTGGGTTCAAGAGATGAGGTATCCTGGAAGATTTGGTCCAAGCAATGATGTCTCTTTACCCTCTTATCTGTCTGTGGGTGACACACTGGCCTTTCAGAAATTGCTCTTCCCCACATTCCCAGAATCTCTGCCCAGACTTGGGCGAGACTTGGCATCAGCTTCTTGCTCAATCACAGCTTGCAGAGCCATCTTACAGAGTATCTCTTTTGTTAGTCTTCATTTCCAGAGGAAGGACAGCAAAAATGACTGATGAAACACAAGGAAATTACGTGGCAAAGCAAAAGAAATAGTTGGTGAGAATGCAGTTTCTGTGGGCTGGAGGCTGCAATCAGGAAAGAATATCTGGGACCTGTGCACTCTGATAAGAACATGAATATGTCCCCTGGACTCATTCCTTCCTTCAGCCATCAAGGAGAGCTGGTATGATCTGTGCCTGGAGAGGCACTGGAGGATGTGGGGTGAGCTCTGTGGAGGGAAGGATTCATCCCTGGCTGTCTGCTGCAGCCTTCAGCCAGCACAAACAGTCCATGGGTTAGAGCTCCTTACCACTGCCCTCTGTGTTGGACCAATATGCCCAGGGAAAATCAACACCCTTTTCTAGGAACACTGAATTACCAAAGCCTGAAGATCTTCTCACTGGTTTTGGGTAGTAACTAAGGAGTGTTATATTCACAGTAATGACTGTGCCATGGGCAGATAACAGCCCCAGCAGTTTGGTGTCACTGCAGGAAGAACACGTGGTGGTTTCAGTGTTTGCAGTGCTGCAGATCCAGTGTGGCTTTCCAGCACCAACCACCCTGGATGTGGGTGCACTGGAGAGAGGCATCACTGAGATTTATCAATTAAAACAGATCCCCAGAGAGTGAAGTCACGCTTTCTAAATATTTGTGTCCCTCTTGTTTTGGTTGCTTTCTTCCCCCCCATGGCTGCTGGGCTGAACCATGCAGGGGAAAGGTTTCTTTCTTTAACAAAAAGCTTAATTATTTCCTTTTTTCTAGATGTTGTTGAAAAAGTGTAACTTCCTGGTAAGTACTGAATTTTACAATGTAATAAATTGATACAGTGGCATGTAAACAAGCTGTGTAAATACATGTGCAGAACCATGCCTTCTACAGAGCAAAGAAGAATTTGCACAGAAGTGGTTTTCTGCAGAAATAATAATTTGCACAGTGTTACGCATTAGTACAATAAATGATATTGCAAGGTCTGAATTTACTGATAGCAGGTTGTGTATTTTGAGTACTATGTTTTGCTCAAATTAAAACCCAAAAAATATTTACTGGCTACAAAAATCCAGTTATTAGGCCAGAAAGAACTGCTAACTTCATTCTTATCTGAGAAGAAATCCATTAAATTCCAGGTGTATCTTTTTACCCAGTCCTTGAGAAAAAAAATTGTTGAATTGATAAATGCCTCTCATGGCCCTGGTCCAGCTCAGCTCTGGTTTTCCTGGGTGGAATGGTGGTGTGGAGCATGTGTTTAATGAGTCTGAAAGGCTGGGGGGAGAGTACAATTGCAGCAGAAATGGCAGAAATATAAATTTCTATCTGTTAGGCCTGTCGGTATTTGCTGCTTCAGTGGAAGTGGTTTTTGGGCTGGGCTCTGTGTCCCTGCCATGGACAGGCCTGGTGCTGGCAGGAGTTTGTTTGGGCTGTGCTCCCCACTGTGTGTGGCTGTGTTTCACCTTCAGCCTGTGCCAGAGCCGGTGAGAGGGACCTCAGAGAGGCACAGGCCACCCCCTTCACAGGCTGATTTCAGCCAGACACAAATTTGCTGCCAGGGATGGAGTAAATCCTCCTGACTCAGAAGGGGTAAATCGCTGTGGGAGCAGGAGAAACTCCACCTGAGTCCTCACACCCAAGAACGGAGCCTGGTTCTTGGTTTGATTTGTGTCTTTTTCTCCCTTTCTTTTAGATGAAGATTGTTCTTACAGGTGCCTAAGCTTCCTTCCAACAGACAAAAAAGAGCAAGCACTTATAGGAAAGCAGCCTAATTATGTGGGGTTTTTAAACAGCCAGGAGGAAAAGGTAGCTTGAAAACCAAAATATCTTGGAGGCTCCTTCTGCATCCATAGTGTGTTTGATAAATTGACTTTTGCTTCCAGGGCACACATTCAGCTTCTTCATTAGTATAATGATCCTTGGTCTTCTCTTCCCCAACTTAGATGATTTGAATAAAAAATTAAGTTTTATGAAAGGTAGCCATTAATAGAGTCAATAAATTTTAAGCTGTGATTGTATATCACTTGCAGCCATCCCGTCCCTCTCTGCTGTAGATCAAAATATATTCAGCATTCTTAAAATACATTTTCCATTGTCTGTTTGACAAGAATAATCCAGTGTGTTGGTGAGTACCAAGGTGACCTGAAAGTTTTTCTAGCACATAATCTCCTCTTATTCTGTATTATGTATGAACTCAGAGACAGAATATCTGCATTATCTTAAATAAACTAGGTAAAATGTATTTCAAAAAGCTTCTTGAGTCAAAAAGTAGCAAATCATTGTATGTATTTCCATATTTGTATAGTTTCATTATATTCTTGTTCTAAGTTACTTTTAAGTCTCTTTCATATTTAAAAAATGAACTACACACCTATCATGCAAAATGTAAAGAAGTATGTTCAACTAGTTCAAATTAGATATACAGTAAAAATACACTTCCAAAGAAATATCATTTCCATTTTTGTTCATGTTTTTAACAGAATTTCAGACTAATACATCAAATGTGGAACTGTACAAGAATGTGAAGAAACATTAGGATTGCAGTAGTAAAAAAATGTACAGCATTCAAAACCAACAAGCTCTAAACAACCAAACAATACCACAGGATTGAAACAGTCATGGGGACAACATAGGTCATTGGAGCCAGAGTGAATCCTAATGCACCTACATAAAGACCCTACATAGAATATTGTCTCTTATTTATATGCAAAATCCCTGATTTGATCAAACCAGACAATTTCTCTAATTGTCTTGTATAGGTTTCAGATAAGATTAACATGAGAGTACTCCCCTTCGTGAAGGTCAGGTGTTTGAAAAGGCAATATTGATAATTGGTTTGAAAGGTATTTCCATCCACATGGATTCAGGTAGTTAAGATACAAGATCACAAATAATAGCAGTACAATTTGAAAGAACCATTGGGATTGTTCTCTGCTACATTTGCCGTAACACTTCAGATTTCAGGATTCAGTATTTTTAAACTGTTCACAGGTTAATACACAGGGTTTTAATTATGGGCTGTAACCATTTAACAGTGGACCAAAATTGCCTTTTAAATCAAGAAAAGATCCAGCTTACCATGTAAAAAAAAAAAAAAAATCTCCAAAGTGATTGACAATGAACAAAATGTTACAAAGAGCAGAATGTCCGTGTCAGAACAGCTTTGAAAGGCAGATATGTACGTGTTACAGTCCACCAACCAGCACAACATCCTTATCAGACATTTGGATCACGAGGAAAAATGTCCTGGATAAACCTGTAACATTTATAAATTCAACACAAACCACCTTTTTTAATGTCTCATCACTGTGCATCAACTCAGCAGACCCTGGCAGCCGTGGGTTGGTGACCAGAGCCCAATCCCTCTCACAGATCTCAGCTAATTCCCAGCTTTGAGGACTGTCCTGCTTTGCCCATAGCTCACCTCTGGGGTTTTTTAAGCTGAAGTGTTAAAAAGGTTAATAAATGACCCAATTATGTCAGCTTTTCTGTCCCACAGTCCTCATACTCTGAAATCTCTCCCTGATCTTGATAGGAATTTGGCTTGCACAAGAACAGCAAATTTGCAGCTCGGAAAGGTGAATAAATGTAGCGTTTTTAAAACCAGAACACTGTTCGGAAAAAGTCCAGCCTACAAAATCATTTTCAATGCCCTGAGAAGGGCAAAGAACACAAATCTTGGCATCTATCTTGCTGTTTATTTAGAATAATCTTTTAGCAATTCTGATCCAATGGGAATGAGGGATTAGTTTTAGAGAGCTGGCCAGTACAACCCAACATCTGACTGAAAGAACTGATTGGAACAGGTTTGAAAAGGAACAACCATCTGCATCTTATGTACCACTCCAAACCTCTAAACCTACTGGGCAAACAGCATCTGTAGACTCGTTCTTATACATATTTAAACTTTGCTGAGGTATTTCTTTTATTACAGAAAAGCAATTTTAAAAACAATAGGAAAAAACCTCAAAATATGAGTTCTATTCTGCAGAGATTTTTGGGGAGAAGGAATTCAATTGTGTTGAAAGGTCCATAATCATTAAAGGAATAACCACTTTTAGTGTCAATAATATATTCTTCCTTGGCTTTTTATTCCTTCAAAACATTACAAAAAACGTAAGGCTGTGACTTTATAAAACATAATTTTGCCTCAACTTTGCCCACCGGTGTTGTAAAATAACCTGAAATACTTCAGCCTCTTTCCTAGGGCAAAGCTCTCCCAGTGTCCACCTTGGTGATGGAGCAGCTGTGGCCACAGAGCCGTGGGGCCCCGCTGGCCCCCAGGACATGGGACAAGCCACACCTTGCACAAAAGCAAGATTCATGCAAGATTCATGCATGCTGGCCAAAGTCAGGCGTCCTTCACGTGGCAAAATGAACCATAGTTCTTCTACTTGAGTTTTAACATTATCTGATAACTTCTACCTGCAACTAACATTATTTCTCTACAATGAAGGTACCTAGACTGTTGTACAAGCTGGATTTCTCACCCATAAATACTTTGGGAACCAGAGGAATGTGTACATCACATTTAGGGATTTTCCTAGGCAGACACTGTGTTTGAAGTGCATTTTTCTAACCTTTTTAGATCCAGTCAGCCTACCTGGATTGTGACACTAATGTTAAATGTAACTGCAGCCGTTACCAAGTAGTTTCCATAAGTGGTTTTATTACTGGTTAGATTTTACAAATTCTGGTATTCGAACAGACTTCGACCTTAAAATTCTAAAACAACAAAGCAACCAATGAAAGGCTTAGGACTATTCAAAGTAACAAACTCTTTAACATTTTTTGCCCTGGTCATAAATATACAGAGAGAAAAAGAGAGAAGTGGACATGGAATCCAAAGAATGTAGATAAAACAGTATATAAGGCACATGGCAGTCTTTGAAAATACAGAAGCTTTAGCCAACTTAAATTAATTGCTGTTTCCCTTGCTCAGTCCACAAAACTGTACAGTTACACAAATGTTGTGTTGCAATAGATCTTCCAAGTTATTCTTCAGTCCATACTCCATAATACCAGAACACTACATTTCCTTCTGTTTTTTAGGAGAGATCCTAATTGTGGTTAGTCAGTTGCTCAAAGCCTCTATTAAAATACACTTGGAATTTCAGCTAAGAATAATTTCTTTTTTAAAGAAATTATTAAGAAAGAGTCATCAGAAAAGATTTGTAAGAGTTGTCTGTGAAGGACTTTGAGATTCATGAACCTCAAGACTTCCGGGCACTGATGTCAGGACCGACGTCACAGTTGGCATAGTGGGGTTAGTCAAGTCTGTTAAAGTAGTGGGAGTGCTGGATGGACTCATGGAGGCATTGGATATTTCTGAGGCAGGACCTGATGGGGTCCCTGCTTGGAGGGTTGAGTCTGAAGTCTTATCCACCCCTGTGTTTTCTTGACGTAAGAGGTTCCGTCTGAATTTGGCTCGAGCATTTTGAAACCAAACCTGAAACAGTTTAATATAACAGGGCAGCATTTAAAGACCTGCAGAGTTTAAAAATGCAAAAGCATATTCACAAATTCATCAATGCTGGAATTGGGAAGATGTTTTTACTGGTAACAGATAGCAGTAGTTCTAGCCATGAGAAATGGCCTCTGCTTGCAGAATATTCCTTCTTCCCTGTCCTTGCATCCCTGCAAGCAGAGTGCCCGGGCCAGCAGCGGGCTGAGCATGGAGGCTGGCAGGCTGAGCTGACTGCACAAGGTGTGTGAAAGGATGCTCAGAAATTTGGCAGCATGCAGAATCCTCGAGAGCCCTCGACGCCAGCAGCATTGGGCTGGGTGAGGCCAACACCACGCACGTGATGAGCACAAAATCAGGAGCTTCCCCCCTTGTACCTCACATCCATGTCCCAGCAAAGTGCTGCTGGCACAGCCCAGGGCACTCTGCCTTCCCAGGGGCTCCTGCTGCCCCAGGAGCTCCCTCACATGCCTGCAGTGCTCCCCTCTTTGCAAAGGACTGGCCTTCTTTCTTGCTCTTCTCTTATTCTTGCTCAAATGCTCCGGCTTCCTTTGCCTACACCTGTTTCCTTTATCAAATGTTTTCAGGGCTCGGAGCCGAGTGCCGGGAGGGAAGGAGGGAAGGAGAGAAGGAGGGAAGGAGGGAAGGAAGGAAGGAGAGAAGGAGGGAAGGAAGGAAGGAAGGAAGGAGAGAAGGAGGGCCCCAGGAAGGCGGGCAGAGCTGGCGGTGCTCCCACGCAGTCCCAGCTGACGGACCTGCCTCGGCTGCTTCACTTCTCTCCTCCTTTCCTCACGTCTAGGGATGCTCCAGATCCAAATTCTCCCTATCGAGCACTCTTCCTGCCTTGGAAAGCTTTCTCCCCCAGCCAAAGGTCTTTAATGTGCACACCCTGTCTCTCACGCTCTCTTCAGGGAATGCCACAAGGAAATAATCCTCAGGCACAAATTCAAGGGCCATGCATAAATCAGATCCCTACAGGTCCTTCTTTCTGAAAGCTCAGTATTTTAGACCAGTTTATGTTGCCATTTGCTTTGTTAAAACACCTCATTTAAAGGCTGTTTATCAGTTTCATATACAAAAGTTCTCTTAAACCAGCACAAGTGAAAATATTCCCATGATTTTATCAGAGTCCAGTAGAGCAGTGACCCTGCTACAGACCAGCAACGTGGTCAAAAAGGGGCAAAGCCCAAAGTGATGTTTTTGCCTGACAGGTTCCCAAGCAGTTCCTCTCGTGGGGCTGCTCAGAGTCCCTCGTGTGCAGGGGCTGTGGGTGAAGTCGAGCACTTTGTTCTGGTCACTTAAACCACAAAGGCTCAAGCACCAACTGCTCAGGAACAGCAAAAACAGCAACTGGAACTCTCATAGGACTTTTTACCTTCCAGGTAGAAATCATTTCTACTTGTTCCACAAAAGAATTTAGTGGTTGGTTTCTTTAAAATATCTTCTGGCAACTGTATAAAGGATAAGAGCTGTGAAATGGAGTTTGGAGCTGGCCGCTGTCGCTGTGCGTGTTCATGTAGCCATGGCATAATTAAAACAGAACAGACAAACCAGTTGGCCAGCTGTAGATACACCTACTTCTGCACAATTTCACACTTATGTTCATTAAAATACCCATATTTTTATATTCAGTAGTCCCAAATATGGGAAACATGACACTCTCCTAAATGTCCAGCTGCTCCTTCACCTTACCAGGGCAAGAGGCTCTGTGGTATTCTCTGGAAACGTGTAGTACATAAAGTGAGAAAGATTCCTGGTGTTTATGGATTTCCCTTCATCTTCCACTCTCATGAAAACCTGAGCTCAGCTGCCCTTACCAATGACCACCCATACTGCTTTCAGGAGCTGCACATGGTTCATTGTCTCTTTATTAGTGGCAATTCGTGTTAGACATGGAAATATCATATAATCCTGCAAGTATTATCTGAAAATAGAGATTATATGACTGCTTTTACTTCCTTCCCCACTGGAATATTGTCAAGGTTAATCAGCTAATGGTTACAAGGCTCTTTAAAATTGTATAATAATAAATATTTGTATTATTACTGAAAATACATCCAATTATTTGAATTCTAAAAACACCTTGTCTTATGATAGAAGGGATATCATTATTCCCACCATAGTGGAAATAATGGACATTCTGGCATGTGCTTTAAATCTGACATCCTCAGCAAAGCCTTTGTGTTAGAGAGTGGTGAGAGAGGAGCAGGGCTGTTCCTGGGGCTGTTCCCCTGCCCGTGGGGCTGTTCCCCTGCCTGTGGGGCTGTTCCTGGGGCTGTTCCCCTGCCCGTGGGGCTGTTCCTGGGGCTGTTCCTGGGGCTGTTCCCCTGCCCGTGGGGCTGTTCCCCTGCCCGTGGGGCTGTTCCTGGGGCTGTTCCCAGGGCTGTTCCCGGGGCTGTTCCCCTGCCCATGGGGCTGTTCCTGGGGCTGTTCCCAGGGCTGTTCCCCTGCCCGTGGGGCTGTTCCTGGGGCTGTTCCTGGGGCTGTTCCCCTGCCCGTGGGGCTGTTCCCCTGCCCGTGGGGCTGTTCCCAGGGCTGTTCCTGGGGCTGTTCCCCTGCCCGTGGGGCTGTTCCCAGGGCTGTTCCTGGGGCTGTTCCCCTGCCCGTGGGGCTGTTCCCCTGCCCGTGGGGCTGCTCCCAGGGCTGTTCCTGGGGCTGCTCCCAGGGCTCCCATGGGCAGCTCATGCCGTGCACCTGGAAGGGCATGGCAGAAACAACCACCCAGACACACAGAACTGGAAGAATCCTTCCAGAAGGACTTATCTCACATCAATTACACAATTCCTTCAGGACTGAGGAACAAACAAAATCATTGGGAAGTATTTAGTGGGTCTCTGTCCAACTGTATCAGTACAAGGCTGAGCTATTTCAAATCAAAGGGGAAGATACAGCCCAAAACTGCCAGTGGAAAATGAAAAGCAGCTGCAAGACCCACCACTGCTGCTGCCACACTCCGGTGAGTGGAGTGGGCACTCAGCACTTGGGCAGAATTATATTTACTGAGGGGAAAAGATTGCACTCCCTCTTCAGTGATCTGGGCAGCAAATTCTTTGTCTCTACCAAGTCAAATCGGAATGAAATAACATCTCCATATGATAAGGGAGTGTTGAAAATAAACACACTAAGTGTTGTGAGGGATTTGGATACTGAAGTTAATGGGATCATCACCTTAGATGACTTTATATTCTGGTTTGTAACACCTCCATTGCTGCATCTGTTACATATTAGCTGTGTGAACAGCTTCTGCTAAAAACAAAATTTTAAACCAATTTTGCTCATTCACACAGCTACCTGGAGACATTTAGGTTCTCTGAATTTCACTTAGTAAGTGGAGGATGTAGATAGAGGATGTAACACCACAAAGCAGACTATGTTCACTAACTGCACACACATTGTGATGACTCTGCTGTAATTAATAACTGTTCAAGGAGATGTTTAATGAATGGGGGCTCAGGAAGAGCCTGCAGCCTAAAGCAAACCTTCACTAAAGGGCAGCATAGGTCCCTCCATGGGATGGAAATATTTTAGCCTTGTTTACTACTGGAAACTGGACCAGCAGAGTCCAAATGCATGCGGTGATTTCTGTAGGATTCTGGGAGTGACTTTACTGGGGACTGATTCAAGAAAAAATAAGTGGTGTACAAGACACACACTGAAAAATGATGCTTTATGTTCCTGAAGTGCTTAGGCTGTGGATAATCTTATTCCAGATAAGAATACACCTGGGGAGAGAAGAGTACATACCTACAGCTAGCACATCACACCTCCTCAGGGCTATCTACCTTCACCTTCCTTTTCTGAACTCACAGACAGAAAGGTCAGTTCCCCAGAGAGCAGCATTTATGCCAGTTACGTTAGTTAGCTCAATTAGCTGGGGCCGTTAATTACTAATGATAACTTACAATAAAAGGCTTATGTTCCCCAGCTGTAGTATAAGATATAAATTAAATTGTGAATGTAAACTTCAATTGGAAGGAAACAAAATAAAAATAGGTGTTAAAAACATAAATAAGTTTGCTGTGTTTGAATGTGGCTACTTTGAGCGTGCATTACAAAGACATTGAAGGAAATGCATTCTGAGAAGCAGGTTACATTTCCAGGCCATCCCACCACTGGACATGTGCAGCTGGAGACAAACTGTATATAAAGCAAAGACACCAGTCAGGGCTTCCAACTCCAGTATCACAGAACATTTAGAAAATCCTCAAATTCTCTGCTCCTCTACAGTCCCCTCATTACACGACATGTGGGGCTGTCTCTACAGCAAGGGCACTGCTGCTGTTCCCTAAATCACCAGGAGCTCAGTTCTGTGTGTTTAGGAAGTACACCTTTCTCCTGATCTGCTCCCTGCACTTCCTCTCAGAATAAATTCTATGAAATGTGTCCACAGAGCCGGGATCCCTCACCAGCTGAATGGAGATCTGAGCACACAGAAGGTCCCAGAGCTCACAAACACCTGCTGGGGAGTGTGGCAGAGCTCTGGCTCCTGGCAGGTGTGCCCCTACACCTGCAAACACCTTGGGTGTGGGACAGGCTGGTGCTAATGGTGCTGCTTTCCATCAATAGTGCCAGTGAGTCACTTTGTGTTCAATCAGTGACACAGATGGATGCCAGCCTCTGGCTCCAAAGAATTAACAAGTGACACTGTCTCAGTAACCAACATCATGATGAGTTTTCCCAGCAAAGAGCAACCCTAAAACTCATTTATGTGAACTTTATTGTCACTCACAGGCAGAGATAAACCAACTGGGCAGAAAGGTTCTGAAACATACAAAATACAAGTTTGTGTACTCATGGCCCAAATAAATTCTCAAACAAAACAGCCATCACTAGAGAGTGCTCATAAGAGGCGGGAAAACTCAAGTGATACCAGACAAAGTGTCACTCCATTTTCTAGAACTGCCCCCAACAGCATCATGCTCAGGGAGCCATCCTCACCACCAACTGCAGCTAAAGGAGTCTGGACATAAAGGAGTATTTAACTCTGAAAGTAAAAGAAGTGAAACACCAAATACCAAAATGATAACAAAACTTTGGTGGAATTGTAAAGTTCTGCAACAAACAAAAGAAGAACCACAAAGCACCTTAAAGCTGCAAATTGTGATGTGTAAAATGAAATGAAGAAGCAGTGAAGCAAGGAAGAAACTGAAAGAGGAACAGAAGAGTAATGGGGTGGAGTCCAGTTTTGGAGAAAAGGAAATATGTTCTGAATAGGAAGAAACAGAGACAATAAACTGGAAAAAAGATGCAAGGAAAGACCCATTCAGTGAAAAGAGAAGGGTGGGATGGAAATCAAAGTTGGCGTGGAGGGACAAGAGAGAACAGAAAGATAATTGAGATAAAGACACTTCTAGACACTGATGTGCTGTTTCTCAGGTAATTCAGGTGTGAATTGGTACTACCAAAGTCTCTAAATTCTGAGGGTAAAACAGAGGAGAAGGGTCAGTCTAAGGAGAGACCAATGCAGTGATGACTTCAGCCATGTTGTGGTTTAAGGACAGTTGCTGTGAGGCACCATATCAGGATGTTCACTCTGCCAGAGGAATGAATCCATTCCTGCACAGCAAATCAGGCTCAGAAAAACAAACCCAATCCAGCTGTGAGGACATAGCCATGAGAAGTCGTTACGTACAGTTTGTCATTTACTGGGAAGCCTACAAAACCTTTGTTCCTTCTTCTGGCAGGTGTTAGCTCTGAAAGCTCCAGGATCCCTCCAGTGAATTCAGTTCTCCTCAGTAGTTGTCTCCTGCCCTCCACTTGCCTGGGACTTGTGAGCTGTCCACGATGCTTCCCAGGATGGGGCTCGCAGCCCTACCTGTCTCTAGGAAGGTCACAAATCCTTTTTCTACAATTAAGACCCATTTAAAAATTTCAGCAATAAATCCTGGAATGCCATGGCTCCTATATGCCCAAGTTTATCTCCAGGTACAGGCATTTGGGTAAGTGCTCATTAAAATTGACTTCTTGAGTTAGAACCATAAATTAAAATGCAGCTGAATCAACTAATACTGTTCCCTTTCCTTCCCACAATAGCTCAAATGGAGTGTGTTCCCATGAGCAAGAAAAAGTACTTTTAAAATGCAGTTTCATTTCATTCTAAGTTACTAAACTATGAGTAAAAGTTTTTGAAAAATTTAATTTACGTCCACTTCAGTTATTAACAAAAACCCTCCTCCTTATCCTGATAAAATGAATTCAAACTGTTTATTAATTTCTAACAAAGGTAAGCATTGACATGTTTTCTGAATTTCTAAACTAAAAGCTCTCTATGTACAGTGAGCACACTAACTAAAATAAGTCACTTTTTTTGTACAGCAGCCTGGAAGCTAAAACATGCACCAGAATTAAAGAACTCCATGAAAGCAAACAGGGCCCCAAACCTTCACAATTCTCATTAAATTTAGAACCCAAGTGATCTGCTTGACAGAAACTGAAAAGAAATAACTCTTCTCATACTTTCTAGGAATTAACTTCATCTCAGAGAAGATACAAATTATTAAGGATATCTTGAAAAGCAGCAAAAGCCATGGCTTTTTAAATATAAAACTGGTATTTTGATTACTTTCCAAGGCAGAAGACGGCTCTTACCTGAAGAACTCTTTTGGTGAGGCCAGTTTTCTGAGCTAGCTGTTTCAAGTCCTTGGCATCAGGGTTGTGGTTAATAGCAAAGTACGACTTCATTGTCCGCAGCTGGTGGTGTTTGAAGGACGTCCTCATGCGCTTGGTTTTCTGACTGCTGGGGTACTGCTGGTCTCTGTCCAGGTGGTCACCATCGTTCTCATTGCAGCTTAAAGCTTAAGGCAACAGGAGGAAAAGACCTGTGAATCTCTTGCTCCACAGCCAGTAGGGTGTCGATTTCCCCGAGTTAAAATGACACACCACAGCACGTACTGGCACAAGCCCTGCCTGCCTTTGCTCCATTTCATGGATTTGTAGAGCAGTTTCCTTTGGAAAAGCCCTCTGAGGTCATTGTGTCCTGCCATTAACCCAGCACTGCCAAGGCCACCACTAAGCCGTGTCCCCAAGTGCCACATCCACGTGGCTTTGAGGTCCCTCCAAGGACAGGGGCTTCACCTCTGCTTTTGGGGAAGTTTCCTGACATCCACCCTGACCCTTCCCTGGCCCAGCCTGAGGCCGTTCCCTCTGCTCCTGTCCCTGTTCCCTGGAGCAGAGCCTGACCCCCCTGGCTGTGCCCTCCTGTCAGGAGCTGTGCAGAGCCACAAGGGCCCCCTGAGCCTCCTTTGCTCCAGGCTGAGCCCCTGCCCAGCTCCCTCAGCCTCTCCGTTCTGGGGCTCCATTCCCTGCCCTGGGCACAGCAGCCCCTCAGTGTCCCTCCTGCCACGAGTGGCCCAGAGCTGCCCCCAGCCCTGGAGGTGCCCCAGCAGTGCCAGCACAGGGTGAGCACAGCCCAGGGGCCATTGGCCTCTTGCCCACCTGGGCACAGCTGGATCATATTCCTGCACCTTCCAGCCATTCCCTCACAGTAACCAGCCTGCAAGGACCCTGCCCTTCCCCTCTGTGGCTTTTAAAATGTCAGCTCTGTTTCCTTTCCCCTCTGCTCCACCTCCACAGAACTTTTCCTCCACTTTCTGTGGGAGGACAGTAGCTGTCCTCAGCTCTGTAAAGGGTTTTACTGTTCTTGGTATCACCATCAATTGCACTGGAACACACAAAGAGAGCTGCACAATACACTCCAGTTAAATCTCAATGGAACAGACTAGTTAAAATCATAATTATTTCCTCCATCAAACTAAACCCTGTAGAGTACAAGGGAGACCATTAAATGAAACACTATAAAAGAAATAAAGTTTGTGGCTACCAGACAGCAAATTATGACTATAATCTGACTAGCTAAAGAAATAAAGCTGTTAATACAACGTATTCACTGGCATGCCAAATGAAAAATCTTTTTTTAATTATTTATGTGTTTATATTTCAATTTTTTTAAAAAGTGTTTGCAAATACTAGTTTGAATTGTAATTTCTGCCATATCTTTTTGAAATCGAGGAATGGCCCTGTTTGATACACGTGCAGAAATCAAGCTCAAGAAGAAGGTCTGTGAGAAAAGAACACTGTAAAAATTATCAAGAAGTATTAAATATTGAATGCCAAGCAGAATAATCTTGTAGACCAAAAGTAGTTTTTCATTTATTTGCGCATACAGCAAACCATAGAAACCCTCTTAAAATAACATTAAGAACCGAGCTTAAACCCAATATAAAATTAGGAATATAACTGAAAATTAGCATTGACAAACTGTTGTTAATTAGCTTTTCCTGTCCAAATATCTACAAGTCCCTCTTCATTTCCTACAAGTTTTATGCTAAAAATAATGAAAACTTGCTATCTCTGTTCTACACAGTGTGAGAAAAACGACCAAAAATTCTTTTGAATGGGAATTGTTGGTAAGTTTCTTAAACACAGGAGCAGGCTTGTTTTCAATTGTCCACTATTGCTGTTTAATTACAGCTGAGTACATCTCATGCACCTATCTGTATATGTTACCTGAATTCATTGTCCATCAGTGGGTCTCAGCCCCAACACACACATTCTGACAGGCATGTATTAAAAACAGATTTAAAAAATACACGGATAATAAAATGCACAGATTCCTAAGTAAAGATGCATCCAGGTTCCCTAAGCAGGTTTGCAGTAGCTACAGTAGCTGCTTTATAAACCTCAGCCTTTCAAAACCTGCTAAAAAGCTGTGGCACAATACAGAGCGAGGCCTGCAAAAATTCAGCTCCAAGCCCAAAAGCACATTTGTTTAACAGATATGCCCAAAGTGTCCAAAGCCTCAAACTTTCCTCTGTTTCTGTACTCCTATAATTTAAAAAGTAGCTAAAAAAATGGTACTGTATATAGAAATGTGAGTGTCTGTGTGCGTGTGTGCGTGCATGTGCATACATTTGTATAAATCCTTTCCAGACCTCTGGATCTTGTGCCAAATTTTGGCCATAAGAAGCATTTCTGCTTGTTTTTCTGCAGCATGGAAACCTGCAAGCACCTGAATTTAAAAGGTGTAAGATACTTCGAGGGAGAGAGTAACAATGGAGTAGTAATGGAGCTGTTTGGGATGTAGCCAGATCTTGTTGGGTTTAAGATCTGGGACCTAGTTGCCCATCTGGAGTCATGGCATGTGCTCCAGTCTCCTTCATCACCACAAGTCCTGATATAAAGAGCATGGGGATAAATAACATAATAATGCTCACAGAAAATTCTGTTATGGAAATGTAAAACCAAATCGTGCTTGTTTTTAAAATGTACCCAAAGAATTTTAGATATTGGTAATGGAAAGGACCGTTGTGCATCGTCTTAGAGGCTTTTGAACCCTCCAAGAAACAACAAGACAGACATAGGAGGAAATGCATCAAAATATCTGTCTGCAGGACTGAGGTCTGGTTCCTGTTAATATGCAACAAAACAAAGCCTAGGGCTGCAAGGAGCTGGATTTTAATGTGTCCCATAGAGAATGAGATACACTCGGAATCCAAGGATATAAAACTGATTCTAAACCCTCCCAGAATGGAATGAGGGTGTCAGCTTTTCATCAAACCCTGATGGGAAAAGGAACAACTTACCCTGGGAATTTCTCAACATTTTACCTCATTTTCTACTAAGTAAAAATAGTATTAAAGTGACTGTAAGCATGTACCACTTGAGAGTGGCAAAATGTCCTTGTCTACGATGGAAGTTGCAGAACAGATTTTGAAGTGCACGAGGGCGTGTGCTGTTCGCTGTCTTGTGCAAGTGGTTTGGCTACTCCCAGGCATCACCCAATATGACATAAATAGTCCTAGCTGGTGCCAATTCCCCTCTTGTATTTGGTTGTGGTGCCTGGCACCATCCCCAACAGGCTATTTTATTCAGTCTAATATTATCTGCATCTCTCACAGAATCTGCAGTGTCCATGGGTGTTGCAGGCACAGATACACAGAACGGGCCAAGGGTGTAAGTGGAGATTTTAAGAGCTGAGGAGTTTCTGCAAAAGGCATCAGGGTGTAAAACTAACACTGTACATGCTCCTCACACAACCCTCTGTTTTTCAGGCACTGTCTTCCCTGTTCTTTTGTGGTGTCCTGTGTATCTCCCAAAGGAATTGCTGAACTATCCATATGTAACATTTCCATTCCATTGCAGTATCTCAGGCTCCTGCTGGGATTTCAGAAATACAATTGGTAGAATTCCAGTCGAATAGAGGAGCCTTAAATTAATGAGTGTTTCACTTCTATTTTTTGATAAAACAAATTCTGAAGCAGTGCAAGTCTCTTTTTTGACCCTAGAACATTTCTAAGGCCCCGTGCCTTTCCCCAGACCCCAGAGCCAAGGCACTGCTCTCCCCCTGTCCACTGGTGCAGCAGGGGCAGCACACACACCCTCAGCCCATCCTGCTCACAGGATGGTGATGTCCACAGGCAGCATTTCCACATCCCTACAGACTAAGAGGAAAACATTTTGTTTTGGCATTGGTAGCCAAAACACCCTTTGCAGATTAATGCATAACACCTCCCTAAACCCAGCAACAGGAGCATAAAGCAGGCTGTGCTGGTGCTTTTGTAACAAAGTCTCTTAGAGGAGGAGAACTTGGGAACATTGCTTCACCCTCAGATCACCAGAGCCCCCCATGGCTTGGGACTCGGGCAAAGTGTGTGCTTAGCAGTTAGTGGGTTGCTAAGGATATGGCACATGAAGATGAGAAAGAGAAATTTCCTTTGGGGGAAATTTTGTTCTTAGTAGCTTGTGCTTGACATGTTAGATTATGCCAAAAGAAAGAAAACTAATCCTGATTCTGAAAGAGTGATGAAACAAGAGACACGTTGTGTGTGCATTATCTCCCAATAGTGGCTCAGGAACATACACCCCTTTCCTTCTGTAATGGGAGTCAAGGGGGTGTTTTAACCTCCTGCTGCCTGGAGAGGGAACTTGTGATTAACTAGACCAGGCAGGGGTGCAGCCGCATTTGTTGCTTGGTCAGGGCATGTAGAGGACTTTGTGGTACCCTTATCCTCCAAGGGGACAGAGGTGAGACAGAGCCCTCAGAGTGGTACTTGGGACAGGAACAGACATAGTCTTTCTCTTTGGAGGAAGGAGAAGACACATAGAGAAGGCAGATTCCTGACATTCTCACCACAGGCATTAGAAGGGTAAAGCTGTGGCACTGGGAGCAGGCAAGGTACCCCTGGCTGCTTCTGAGGTGCCTGGCAGCACTAAGAGGACGGTGTCTCTGCCAAGCCATGGAGCAACAGACGCAACAGCGCTGCCTCAACCTTGACATTTCAAGAAGTGTTTCTGAGGAGATAAAGCCAGTGAGTCTTAAGGAGCCCAGGCCGAGCATCACAAGGCCAGGACGGAGGAGAGCAGGATTGGAAGCCCTCTTCCTCCGGCCTTCCCCGGGCGCCTCGGACAAAGGGCTGCGCGTCCCGGTGCCCCCCGGGGCCGCCTAAGGCCCGGGCCCCGCGGCCGCAGCGGCCCCCGGGGGGAGCGCGGCCGGGCCGGGGCTGCGGGGCGGGAGAACAAAGGGGCCGGGAGGGGCGGCCGGGCCGGGCCCCGCGGGAGGAACCGCCGCCAGGGCTTTTCCCCTCAATTAAGCCAGCTGAATGGAGCTGAATGGCCGGTGCGAGTGCGCGGTCAGTCCCTGAGCGCCGCGATTAACCCGGGCGGCCCCGGCCGAGCCGGGCTCCGCGCTACCCGCCCCGCCGGGGAAGGGGCTGGCGGCGGGGCTGCAGCGGGCTCCGCTCCCGGGCTGCCCAGGGACCCCGGCCCTGCCCAGGGACCCCGTCCCTGCCCAGGGACCCCGGCCCTGCCCAGGGACCCCGGCCCTGCCCAGGGACCCCGGCCCTGCCGCCGCCCGCGGCGCTCCCGGGGCCCCGCTCGCCCTTCGGGGCGGGAGCGATGCCCGCGCCCTGCCCCGGCTCCGACCCCAGCCCAGCCCCTGCGCCTGCCCCGGCCCCGACCCCAGCCCCAGCCCCCTGGGGAGGGGCCAGATGCGCCCGGGGACCCCAAGGTGACCACAGCCAGGGAGGAGGCAGAGAAGGGGGAGAAGCGAGGAGAGGGGGGAAGGGGTAAGCCCTAATTTTCCCTGGGAAATCTCTGCAACACATCCGACTTTAAGCCGCGATTCCCGTCTGCTCGCTCTGTCACAGTAGTCACAGGGAAGCTTCTTGTGAGCTTTTAGTCCCAAGGGAAACGAGGAGGAAAGAGGGATTCGCTCTTCAAAACTTTCCAGGCTTTTCGCATTTTTGCAGGGAAAAAAACCCCAAACCACTTTTGACACAGGCACTTGGGAGGGTCAGCTCCAGGCGTCCCCGGCGCTGCCCCGAGCCCTGCCGGGAGCTGGGTCGGCGCCTCCGCAGCCTCCCCCGGCAAAAAGCCGCCCTCAGCCCCGTCCCCATCCGCCGAGGACATCCACCCCGCCTGGATATCCCGTCACCCTCCCAGCGAAGCACGAGGCATCTTCCTGCTAGCAAAGGAAGGAAGTGTTTCTTAATATCTTGGCTGTTTGTACAGATTATGGGTATTTTATCAGCTCGTCGTGCCCCAAGTTTGCGCAATACATCTGTCATTTTCCAGGATATTTTAGTGTCTTAAAGCCAGACTAGATAGAAATGAATAAAACATAGCAGACTGTGGGAGGTTTGGGGTCTAATTCACAAAGGGAGTATTCAGAATTCTTTACAGGTGCTTCTGTGTTCAGCAAGCTTTCAGCCATTGATTTACTGACCTAAAAAACCCATCAAACTCCATTCCAACAAGTGAAGGAGGAAATTATGATCACAGGAACACACTTAAAGAAAAAAAAGAGAGAGAAAGGAAAAGAAAGAAAAAGAAGTCTTTTTGAAGTTTCAGCATCCTTCTAAGCTATTTTCCACTTGTCAGGCTCTATCCACATCTAAACCCATCATCCCCCTGCAAACGGAGTCTCGTTTAAGTAGGAAAAGAAAGAAGAAAAAAGTCAGTCTAATTCGTGTTGCAGATGAATGTTTGCTGCAATTTACAAAATTATTTCAGTCTCGACTCTGCCAAGTTTATGGGTCCCCCTTTTCCCATCACCTCTGGGTGTAGATTTATTTACACAAAGTATTCTACACAAATCACCAGGAACAGATCCCCTCAGACGACAACATTATGCATTTGTAGTGCATTTCTGAGAAGGAAATTACAAGTTCCACTAAAAATAAAAAGAGAAACTATCACATTTTTAGATGGCTTATCTTTTAAACTTACAAAATCCAAGGCTTTGCAATGATTTACTCGTTTGTGGAATTTTACATCAACGAGTAACCCAGTCTGATTTCCAAGATCAATGGCACTTATTACCGCATAAATTAGTCGATTATAGGTCTAGTAAATAGTTAAGTAGATAAATAGCTTAAGCGAAGAAGCCAAGGGTTACTCAAAGAAGATCTCTAAAGTTTCAGTAGCACGCTCTAAACAACGACTAAAAGTCAGACGGCAATTATTTTGTAAACGAATTTTTCAAAATGCAGTTAAAGGCGGTTTATTTAGGAAGTCAGGGAGCAGTGAGACTTTCTCGGGCTGTGCCCCCATCCAGGACAGATGCCGCTGATTCGGTTTACAGGTCCTTTGAATCTGAACATCTGCCCTGCACAGGGAAACAGCGGAAGGACAATTAAAAGCTAATCCCTCCGAAAAGGAGACGTTTTTTAACGGGAAAAATGTATATTTTATGCATGTTTTAAAGCTGAACTGTTACTCGCGAGAACACTACATCCACCTTTCATCAACCTTCACCACTGGGGCTACTACTGCTTTTTGCACTACTTCCAAATTATTCAGCAATTAGTTCAACCAATAATAGCTGGCAAATTCGTTCCCGAGGTGCGTTTGGCGGTTGGAGATGCGCCTTTTCTGCCTGCCGTTTTCAGCACAAACCACCCCATTTCGTCGCTATTGTTACTCCCTTCGGGCGCAAAACAGCCGCAGCCCCCCGGTCCCGAGCTGCCTCCCCCGGCCCGAAGCCCGAGCTCCTCGCCACCCCTGCACTTCTCGGTGTCCCCCCGCGCCTTCCTCCCGCCGTTCCTCCTCCTCCTCCCGCGCAGGCGGAGCGGCCGCCCGGCGCAGCCCGCAGCTGTCGGGGCGCGCAGGGACGCGGCTCGAAACAAACCGCAGCAAACTTGGCCTTTACCGAACGCCCTCTCCGGGAAAGATGAACATGTTAAAGGCAAATCTGTGCCCTACGGGACACGTCCGAAGCAGGCAGGTTAGAAGAGAAAACAGTCTGAAACAGTTTGGGACGAGCGGAGAGGCACAGAGGGCACCGAGGCACAGAACGAAGTAGGGAAACGAGTTCGGTGCCAGGGTCTGGCGGGACGGCCCGAGCGCCCGGCTCGGGAAACGCCGGACTGGGGGAAGCCCTCCTCCGCCTCCAAGTCCTCGAATAAAACCAACAGCTAAGGATTTTGTTTTGTCCAAGCATTTTTCCCCATTGCATACGAGCAGCAGCGCAGGAAGCCCCCGGGATGGCAGCCGTTCTGGTGGCAGCCACACGGAGAAGTGGAGCGAGGGGCAGAGGGGAGCGGGGATGGGGGGGAGGGGGGCAGGAGGTTGCTCGAATTCCTTTGCCTGTAAAATTACAGTGCTGCGGCGGTGGGGAGGTTAAACGAGGAAACACGTCGGAAAGTTTGCTGCTGGATCCAGCGAGCCCCGGCTGCTGCCAGGCTCGCTCCCGTTCCTCTGCCGCTGGGCTCGGTCCAGGGGCAGGGCCTGCAGAGGGGATGCTGCGAGTTTCCCGACTCCTCTCCGAGTCACCTCTCATGAACAGAACTCCAGCGGAACTCGCCCCCGAGCGAGCAGGCTCTGTGCTGCCCGCAGACACCTGCTGCCCGCGGCCCCGGGCCGGGCACAGCCAGCCCTGCAGCCCTTGGGAAACGGCCACTTCCTCTCTCTCTTCCCTTCCAAAGCTTTGGGTGCAAGAGCTCAGGACGGGGCTGAACAATTCACCCGTCAGCAGCTTTAGAGTGTAGCCACTAAAGAAAATTCACGGGCCTCTGAAGTGCTAACTTAAAATCTCTGGTTTCCAGATTTTATTTCAGGCTGCACTCCCCCTTCTTCCCCCCCTTAACCAGATGACCTTGCTTCAAAACATTTTATTTCCAGCTGAAGTGAAAAATGCTAACATATTAGCTTCTGTAATTGCAGTTTGACAGCACTTGATCTCAATAATTATGCTGCAGCTAAACTATTATTAACAGTTTAAGCTAAAATAAACGGAAATCCCCCTTTGGAAGTGAACAGAAACAGACCATTTGAACTGTTCTGGGGGAAGGGTCTCTTACCTGCATTGTAGGCTGCCAGATCTGCTCCAGGCCCCGGGCTTTTTCTTTTCCTGGGTCTCCCCTTCTGGACAGTCCCCACGCCATTGTAATAAGGCAGTCCCAAAGTGTTGGCAGAGCCCGCTCCCAAAGCCGGGCCCTTCCCAGCGGCTACATCCGAGTGATTGAAATGCACCTGGTACTCCCCCTGGATGAGAGTCTCGAAATGGAGGCGGCAGTACACCAGATTGTCCTTCATGCCAAAGTGATCGCCAGTGGTCAGCATCTTGTTGCAAGTGGTGCAAGTGAAGCAATTTAAGTGATATACCAAATCCCTGGCCCTCATGACCATCTCGGAGGCAGAAATCCCCAGGTGACATCTCGCACATCTCTGCACCGAAAACCTCCTGCAAAACAGAAAGGCCAGAGGAGACGGTGAGAGGCGCATTCCCCCCCACCCCGTCCTTCGTCGGTCCTGTCCGGAGGGCGGCAAAGAGCCGCGAGCCCCGGAGCGGCGGCCTCGGCCGGGGCAGCGGCACAAAGCCGGGCCCTTTGCGGAGCCCAGCCGTGCGCGCATCCCGGGACGGAAGCGCGGGAGTCTCCGTCCCGCTCCCCACCTCGCAGTGCAGCTCCCGCCCCACCAGACCCCACCAGGAAAAGGCACCGGCCCCCGGGCACCCACACTGGGGCCCGCGAATGTGCCCGCACCCCCGGGCCGCGGGAGGCACCGGCGGCGGGTGAGGAGCGGCCCCGCTGCGGCCCCGGCCCCGCACCCAGCACAGGAGGCCGAGCAGGGCACGCCTGGAGAAGGCCCCAGAAGCCAAAGCAGGCTGGGGGGAAGCCGTGCCCGGGCCGTGTCCCCCTCTCGGCAGCTCGGGACTCATCCTCACCGCCAGTCTCCCTCCCCAGGGGGAGGCTTCAGGAGCTCGCAGCCTGCCCCACGCGTGCCCACGGATCCCCTCCGCAGTCCCCTCAGGACGGGTCTGTTCCGCGGGGGGAGCGGCGGGCAGTGGCCCCGTCCCCGGCCGGCGGCCAGGGCAGGCTGTACCTGTAATAGTCCTCCTTGCAGTAGATGCTGCCGTCCTTGCTGAAGCAGGTGAGCTCGGACTCCAGGTTGAGTTTACATTCACAGCACTTCAGGCAGCGCATGTGCCACTGTTTGTCCACAGCCAGGAGGTAATAACGGTCGGAGATTTTACCCCCGCAGCCGGCGCACAGGGCAGCCCTGTCACTGCTGATGGAAGGCATGGTCTGCTGGGGGAAAACAATTACAGACCGTTAGCGAGAGGGAGAAACTCTTGAGCACGGCTGGGCTCCCCCTCCCCCTGCCCGGCCGGGGCCGAGCTGCTGCTCCCCTGGCAGAGGAGCGGGGGCTCCGAGCCGGCCACCCCGCCCGGTCCCCAGGGTCCCGCCGCATCCCACCTTCCCGGGAGGAGGCGGGGAAGCGGGCGAGACAAACAGAAAACCACCCCGGCTTTTAGGGGAGGCGTCCAAACCAGACCCAGAACTTTTTTTTTTCCTGGTGGATTTTCCAGTCTCAAACCAAGAAAAGGCGCTGTTCAATAAACAGGCGCAATAATAATAGAGCAGGGCAAATCACGGATAGATAATTTTAAAATTTAGAATTACGGATATACTGAGAGTGTCTGCATAGTTAATGCTGTGTGAGTGCGTGTATGTGGAGCGTGTCTGTGTGTGTATTTTCCTAGCTATAAAATTCCGAATGAATTACGATCAAACCCCCAGTAGTCACAGAGCTGCAGACACAGCTCTCTGCAAGCTGGTTCCAAACAACACGGATCGCGATCTGCTGTGACCCAAAGCGCTAAAGGGATCAGTAAATAAAGCTGCGGAGGAGATGAGCGTTACTAAATCCGAGGTGCAGAATGTTTAATCAGGAAAACGAAATAGTGGGAAACGTGCAGGAATGAGAGCGGGTTAAAACCAAGAGAGCACATTAGATTATGCTAGGATAAACTTGGAAGCAATAAAACTAAATATAAGCCCTATATAATTTAATAGTTTAGTGTCAAATCGCAATCCAGTCGAAACCCTCAAAAAACCCCAAATTCATCCATATCCTGTCAACTTCTACCGAACAAGAAAGAGGGAGAAATATCGGAACCGTTTAAGCATGCTTATTTATTCCAGCAGGCACCTTAAAACAGCATTCAGGAGAGGAGAGGAGGCTCGGGTGGAGCAGCGTCTGGGGCAGACCTTGCAATATGCTGCTTTCCACTTCGGTCCCAACTTACTCTTACCGCTTTGCACAAAAGCCCACGGCAGATCTGTTCTTGTGCACGAGAACCCGAAACATTTCCTTACAGCTGTGCCCAACACGCAGTTTGTTTTGGGTCGGGGCGGGGGAGAAGTTGTTTGTTTGCTTTTACCTCCTCTAGAGCCTTAAATCCTCGCGCAAAGCAAAAGCAAAGACAGCTAATCGGAGGAAATCGAAAGGAACCGAGGCTGATTTTCCAGCACATGCCAAACCCATTGCTTTCATCCTGTGCTTGCGGGGATCACAAAATCCCATCTCTGTGAGCGCTCCCGTTTGCACCGCATCATTCCCACTAGGAGAACTCCACACAAATAAAACCCTGGCACTCCACTGGTGTTAGTCACAGGAACCCACCGGTAGCTTGTTTCTTTAAGGCATTAACTGAACTCCGAGTAGGGATCGTTTTATAACCAAAGTAGTTTCTTGTAAATCCACTTTAAATTAAATAACGATTTTTTTCTACTTCGCTCTTCTAGTAACAAAAATATTCTGCGGTCTAGAAATGGAATTCAAGGATCTAGTATTCCAACCCACAATTTGTTACATGCACACGTGTATCCATACAGATTATATACAGTTATATAAAACTATCGCGCCACAATATTTATTCCAGCAAAGAATATTGGATGTTGTGTAATTGTACGGAGAAATATCAACTTTTTAAAAGAAAACCAAAACCGTTTAGATTAGAAATTGCATCCCACCCTTCCAGTACAAAGGCCGTTCTCCAGACGGTGTTTCAAGATTAAATAGTCTCACTGTCACCTTCAAGCAAATTTCATATAACATTACAAGAAAGAACACATACGGATGAAGTTTGAAAACCTGAAAACGGATCTTCCTTGCATATGCCTGTATCAGTTTACAAGACAGCATTTAATAAACATACGAGATAATCTCACTTCAGAATTGTAATTTCTTAAAAAAAAATTAGTATACATAAATAGTTAAATCACTTAAGACACTTCGAAAATTTCGTCCACTTTGTCAGCTTAATGCTAGTTAGATGGATGAATCTTTTTAATTATCTAAATGTATTAATATGCAAGGTCTACGCATCAGCAGACAAGATGAAATGTGGTAAAGTTATAAAAATTCCCATCCATCCGTCTTCCTGGGACATATCTTCTAGTTCTGTTTGCCATGTTTACAAACCCACATATTAAAACTATTTTAAAAACCCATAACTTAAAGACACTCGTGTTTGTTTTTTTCCTTCTTAAATAAATGCTATAAAGACTATCTACATGAAGGCATCCTACCTGAAAAATAACACAGAATTGGATTCTTTGGTGTTTGTGTTTCCATTCTGCAGACAAAAAAATTTGCTGTGCCAAAATGTTACTGGTATAAAACCACACTTTGCCTCTTCCTAAAAACTTTGGAAGGCCGGACAGGCTGGGGGAAGGGAAGGAGTTCTTGGACGCTACCAAAAGGCTGGTCTATCTGTTTTCTCACAAGAGCAGCACCGTTCATTTCGCCCAAGCGTTACTATTACTATGCATATTATTAATAATTAACAGTTTCATGCCTTTCCCCACGGTTTCATTTCATCTTTTGGGGTGCCTTTATGCTTAATTTTCTTCTGATTTAGTATTTTGCTTACGCTTCCCCCCAGTCTGTTATTTTAGGGGAAAAGCTGTATCTGTGAGGGGTTTGGCATGTTTAGGGGGGTGCATGACTCTCCCATTCCTTCGGCTCCTACCGTTTCCGTCTCTCCCCTGTCTATAGCCGAGCTGATGGCCGGTGCTTCGCTTTTGGTTCTCCGATCCATCTCGTCGATGACCCCGTGCATCTCCGAGCCGGAAAGGCTGTGGAAAAGCATCGCTGAGGAAGCAGAGGAGGAGGGCCCGAGTGGCTGTTGCTGCTGACAGTTGTCGGGGTCCCTGCAGGAGCCCAGAACTTGCATTAACCGGAGCCCTCCCCCATGCATCTAGCACGGCCGCCCCGTCTCTCCTTGGGCACCGGGTTTTTCCCCGGCGGAGCTCTCCGGAGCGCGGCGCAGGCACTGATCCGAGGTTTCAAGGGATGGGGTGCAGAAAAGGCGGGCGAAGGGGATGCGGGAGAGGGGATAACTGGTGATGTAAGCTTCGGGGCTTGGATCTAGTCTGTTGCGCGGCCCCGGCACATCTCTCTAGGAGGCTTCTTCAGTGCAGGGCTCATTGCCCCAGGTGCAGTCCCAGGCTTTATGCTCTGGCCCAGCTGGCAGAAGGCTGGGCAGGCTTACGGTTGGGAGGGATTAATAAATAGTAGAAATAAAAAAAAAAATTAAACCATCTTCGGTGAGAAATAAATAAGAATTAAGAAAAAAAATTACGACAAGCCCCTTACATCGTACTGTGCGAAATTTAGAGGAGGAAAGCAAGGGAGAGGGAGACCGCAGCAGGCGGAGAGCAGGCTGGTGCTGCAGGAGGCTGGGGCGGATGCCCACCGTACGCACTCACAGTCCAGAGGGCTGGCAGCGGCGGCAGCTCAGGGGCAAAGTTTGCTCCTTCCCCCGCTCCTCCCCCAGCCCGCTGGAGCTCATTGGGAAAAGAAAAAGCCAAGGGGAAGGAGGAAGAGTTGGACGGGCACCAGATGGGACGGGCACTGGCGGCCCCCCTCTGTCCTTAAAGCGGCGCGGCCCGCGGGGCCCGGGGCGGGAGCGCAGCCGGAGCGGAGCCGCCGCGGAGCTGCGAGCGGCGCGTCTGCAGCGCGGGGACCGCGCGGGGCTCCGCGCCTTTTCTACAGCCCCTCTGACATCATGTCCTGCCCCGCCGCCATTGGCTGCGCCGCGCCCGGGCCGCCGGCATGTGCTCGGGGCCGGGCGGTGTCCCCGCGCTGTCCCCGCGCTGTCCCCGCGCTGGCCCCGCGCACCGCCAGCGCTGCCGCGTCCCGCTCGCTGCGCGGGCTCGGGAGCGGCCCGGCCCCTCGCGGACCTCGGCGTTTGTCGCCCGGTGACCGTCGGCGACGCGTCGGGCCATGGCGCGCCGGAGAGGCTGCGGGGCACAACTTCTCCAGCGCGCGAGAAGGAGGCGTTCTAGAGTATGTCTCACCATACCCCAAACATTTACGACCAGTTGAATGCACCCAATAACTCTTCGTTATGAAAAAAATTCACTGTTAGAATATGACAACTTGAATCACTCCAGTTTGTGGAGCCTTCCACAAACCGAGGCCTCTTGCATCTCTAATTTCCAAGTAGTCTGTAAGAAAACCAGGCCAGGAAGGTCTCTGAACTTGAGGAAAAGCTTCAGAAACTCTCCAGGAAAAACAAAGAGTGCACAGGGAGACTGTTTATGGTGTCTAAATATTTATCCAGGAGGTGGGTAGTAAGGAAGGACTAATTAGTATTAAAGATGTCAAATATCGCACTTCTAATTATGTTAGCAAAGGTAGCACAACGGAAGGTAAATGTGACTGCACATCTGAGATCATGAGACGCGCTGCCTCATCCGTGACTATGAATTATTACATCACTCTGCTCATTGCCATCAGGTGTTGTTTTCTGACAGAGCCATTTGCCTCTTACAGGTGTAGTGCAGTTAACATTATCCTTGCTAAAACTGGAATTCTTCTGTTTATAGCCCAACTTTGCTGGGTTTATACATTCCATTCTTACAATAATTGATGCTTTTTATCATCTTTCTGTTGGGATTGCTCTGAGTAGTTAAAGTCATTTGCATGTCACAGAGGAGAACAAAGTGTCTCTTGTAGAAATGCATATGAAATAGCCACAAGACCCCTCAAGAAACCATACAGAATGCAAGCTAATTTGGCATCTGTGGGAACTATCCAAAGTCTGTCCTAAAATCAGACCTTGGAAACAATGGAAGTTCATGTTCGAATTCAGATTAGGATCCTGCAGCACCATTAGTGGCTCTGTACAGCATTTCTCTGGATAAAATCATCTTTCCCTTCTCTGTACGCGAGGTTTTCAAGCCCCGTCTGTGCTGGGAGCTTTGCCTGCAGGAGCAGCTGTGGATCACTGCTCACCGGACAGCACGGACCCCCAGGTGGGACAGCACTGGCTCACCTTTGCTCAGGCACTGCTGCAGAAATCCTTCTCACAGCTGTGGACCGTGCTGTCCTCAGATGTTCTGATACCAGATTCATTTCCTATCACCCAATTGATTACGTACTTTTTGCAGTCAAGAAAGGTCATGGATTTGTACACTCTATCAGACATAGCTAATTATCAAAAAGATTTTAGGTATTTAACAGAATGAAAGTACAGTGTTTTATGTTCCAGAATTGCCTCGGTGGATGGAACCAATAATACCAGGAGCACGCTGAAAAAGTATGGCATGGCCTCCAGTTCACAGGGTATCTCTGATTATCTTCTAATGGATATACAAACACAAGAAGACATCCAACCCTTGCTACCAAAACACAAGGAGAGTAACAGAATGTAAACATAAAGCTGCTAATGTACACACTGACACATGAATGGCATTTACATTGTTCAGAATAAAATCAAGGATACTTTCAAATAATGAGCCACAGAAAAATTGCTGGAGCAAAATTGTCTTCAGAATGAAATGCAGGCTTATTTGAAATGAGAGTTTTTTCATTTAAAAAATGGTGCAGCTAATAATAAAGTCTTTTAACCTGTATTTTGTTATAGGTGACAGGTGAACAAATCACAGGTCTTGAGTTTTTCTACCCTGCCTCTCTTGGTAACGTCATCTCCAGTACCATCTGCTACCTACCAGACAAACAGACCAACCACATAATGAGGTACCAGCTTCCACCCAGCTACCGTGACTAAATCAGAACAAAAGATTCAACGCCTCCTTCAACAAAGGAACACAAGTCTAAGCTGTCTTTGCTAATTGCTGGGTTTCAGGTTGTCTGTTACAGATTTTAAGTGAGCTGCAAACTTCCATCAAATACTTATAGCTGTTGGATAAAGATACTAAGAATAAAAGATAAATGGAAGCAAAAGGTAAGAGCGAAGAGAAGAAAGCTTAGAAAATAAGCAACTACTTATGGTAATTTAAAGACTGTGGAATAATATAAACATGAAAGACCAGGGGGCAGAGTGATTGATATCTCATATGTTTTCGATGCCCCTACGGTTATTAGACTGCAATATATGGGAACATACAATAAACTATGAATTAAAATGTAATTGTAGCTTCAGGCATCTTCTTCATTGTCTGCTGTGGTGTTATGTCTTCATGCACCGTGATTGACAAGGTGTAATTAATCATCTTACTCAGTTGTAAATATGGGCACCCTTCACAGTAGGCATCAGGAAGTGTGTACCAGCAAAGGAAGCAATAGTTGACGCTGAGATACCATTAAATCAAAATCAGAATGCGTATATGTTCAGAAGTGTGTGTTTGGTGTGATGCTGTTATGGTTTATTTCTAAAATACTGTACCAACAGATTTACTTGATTTGCAAGTTAACTACAACATTAACCGCTTTTATATATTTTGTCTCTTCTTCATTTTTATAGGCAATGATGTTGTTCTCCTAAAATGTGAGCCAGTTTGCTTCCTGTCAGCAAGTGGAGCTCAGCTCAGCTCTTCCTCTGCCCAGGTTGCTGCACACAGACCAGCAGCTCCGTGGTCTCCCTTGAAATGGTTCGGGCAAATTATTGCTCCATTCATGGATCACCTTCTGCACTTCTTATATACTGACTTAGACACTTTGGGTCATTTTAAAATGAAAGAGAATAATGAAATTAACCTAACCAGGAACACTGTTCCATTTAAAAATAGGACATTTCTTGCCACCAACGCTGTCCCCAGATTGTAAATGAATGTCTTTTAAAAGATTTTTTACATTATTCCAGGGTAGGAAACTTGTTATATCTGCTTCTTTTTGTAAATGATTGCTATCCTTATCTAGTTAGTACAGAAATGGTATCTGAGTCATGGGAAATTAAGTGGTTTGTCTCAGGAAAATTTGGTGGTATGCATGTTTTTGATGCACGTAGAGCTGCTGAATGAATAATTGGCCCCTATTTAATGTCCTCTGCTTTAAAGCTGTCTAGTACATTTGCTGTTTAAAAAAATGTCTTTCAAAGCTGTTAAATATGTAACAAAAAGAGGTTGCTCTCTCCATTTTGACACGAACAAAGCCATACAGTGAGCTGCCCGAGGTACTTCCAGCATGGGATTAATTACAAACACAATCATAAATGGAAATTTTCAAAGTTTTCCGATTCCTTTTCTTTGCGATACCAGCTGATGAGTGTTTGATAAAAACATGGAGTAAAAATATCAGTTCAGGAATTAGCTATTAAATATTTAGCCAAACATTTTTCAGAGAGTATGGGATCTGTTGGATCTATAATTCCACCATTTACCCCTGATGGAGTGAGATCTCTGGCTGTCTTCAGAAGCAAACCGAGCTTAAAACAGGAGTGCGCTCTCAAGAAGATGATCGACTAAGAATGTGTTTTATTTTGATTTGAAAAACCGTCAATCACAGATAAAAAAGACCAAATGCTATTATTATAGTATTAGAGCTAACTGTATTTGTCTGGTAAACCAGGCACATGCAGGAAAGGGAAAAAAATACAGCTTAAAAGGAAAATATTCTGAAGGTTTTGCCCAGATGTTGTGTTGAAATTGTTGTTCCCTGGTACAAGCAATTGATTTCAGAGGAAAATACAAGCATGTATCTATAGATGTGAGAGAGAAATGAGATGTCCAATGTCTCACATATTGCAGTTTATATAGCCACAGCTATTTAAACAATTCCAAAACTGCCTCTACGGGTGTCAGAGAGGGAGGGAAATCTTCAACCACATGATCTTCTCTCCAGAGTCCTGTTAAATCCACTGAACTTAAAACAGAACAAGAAGTGTGAAATATGGGTTTGAACATGTTATGTCAGAAATGTAAAGGTTGGAAGCCTTTTTAGTAACCGATATTAATATTGTATTAAATGTTATGAAAAGGTAGGTGTTGGAGAGAAGGGCTGGGCTCATGTGCAATTTTGTCAAGGTTTTTATCTGTGATTATGATTCCAGATGTATCTATTCCCTGAGGACAAAAATGAAGTAAAGTTGGCATGTGACATGTGTTTTAAGGTGTTTGGCACAGTTTCCCAAAGTGATGACAAAATGTTCATTTTTATTACAGTGAATTGGTACAGAAAACACGATTCTGAAGGTCAGTAGCTGTATATTTACCAGAGCTTTGGAGTTTGATTTTGGGGAATATACATTTTTGGTGATGTGCTTAGATCTGATTGCCTGACAAGCATCTACTATAATAAATAATGTAAATAGAATAACTTTTACAAAATATGAAGTGGCAATTACTAGAAATTCAGTAAATTCATGCACAGGACATGACAAAGATCGCAACAATTTCTCTTTTTTGCATCTAGTAGTGTAGCTGCTTCTTATTAATTATTTTAAATCAGTTTACTGCAGACTAATCTCATTGCTCTACAGTTAGAGCTCAAATAATTGCAGCAATGTCCTTTGTAGGAACACGTTTTCCATGTAGATGGGCAGGTTTTAATTGTTTTCACAAACCGGGCAGGTTATTTTTTTGGCTGAGGCCGTTTTGCCCGAACGCAGGCAGGAGCTGCGAGGGGAGTTCCTGCGGCGCCCGGCTCCCCCCGTGCCGTCCCTGCAGCCCGGTGTGCAGCAGCCCCAGGCTGGCAGCAGGGCACCCCGGTGCAGCAGCGGCAGCAAACGCTCCCTCATAAAGCTTTTACAAGTCCAGCATCCACCAATCCGCGGCGCGGGGAGCCTGCCCCGATTGGGTGTACCGGGATTTGGTAAACACGGCTGCATGACAAAAACAAGGTTTGTACAGAAAGGACTCCAGCAGCATCGCCTCCTTCGAATGCTCAGAGCCCAAGAATATGATTAATTCCATACTTTATAAGTAAACTTCCCCAGCTCTGGATCCATCTGCAAATATTCAGAGTGATGTGCTCAATGCATTCCTTTCTGTTCTACAACCACATTTCTTTGTGAATTTAACCACATCAGAAAGCACTTCAGATTTCTAACACAAATATTCAATGCATTTAATGTAAGGAAGCTTCCTTTATTGGAGGTGATTTGGAACATTTTGTATTTTATAGGTATATTTAAGAGGTTAGCAGTAGGGGGGAATCGTCTGTGGAAAATCTGTCTACAGCTGAAATTCTTAGATGCAGAAGTGTTGCTGAAATGCCCAATACATTTACATTCTTTTGTTAAGTAGCTTACAGGACTATCCTCTTAGCTACCAGATACCCAGATCCTTTTTTTTTTTTTTAAGGTCAAATAACATTTCTCCCCTTTTCTCTTATTTGTTATTTTCAGGGGAATATACTTGGACTGGGGTTTTGTGTGCCATTAGAAGATTTTCATTTTTCCTGTCTTTTTTACTTTTTTAATCCACAATTTTGTTGTTCTTTTCAATAATCTTCTGCAACTTTCTTTCATCTTTAGTGCATGTAAAGAAGCCCCTTATTGGCTAGCACATTACTGATAATGATTTACAAGTTTTCCCAGATTAATTTTCCATGGGATTATTTTTTCCCCAGTATAACATAGCTCCAATTAAAAAAAAAAAAGAATGCCAAAGGTTAAGGCATTTTATAATACAAATTGGAAATGAATTTTTGAAGTAGTTGAGTTTGTATTTTAAATTTAGAATCTGTTCATACTTCAGTATCAGAAAAACAATGTGTAGAATTTAAAAATTAGCAGTCTGGTGCTTTCCAGATATTGAAATGTGCCTGCCTAATGAAGGCAGAAGACTTGCTCACTAGATTTATTTTAAAGCAGTGCTTTTAGATAGACATAAATTTAAATGGCAGTTTTCAACTGGATACTTATTACTATTTTATTTGATATTTGCAAGATACCTGACCATTTAATATTTATCCTTTATTTCTCTGAGCTGATCTAATTGCACCTCTCTATTTTGCATTTATTTCTCTTTGCAAACACTACATTATTCACTCTCTCCTGTGCTTATTAAACAGTGCCACCTGCACCAAATGAAACAAAGCTTCTCCATCAATCTATCCCAGCTAAAGAACCCTGACTATATATTATAATTAATTGAAGCTCAATTGAACACTTGAGTCTGAACTAGATACAGTAACCTGAAAAAAACATTAAAAAATTAGGATGTACTTTAAAGAAATCTTTTAAATGAAAATGTTCACTCAAAACCAAGAACCTAACCTTGCACCAAGCACTCTTCATCAGCTCCGCACAGTACCTCAAGTAGCAATTAGCAGGTCCTTTAATTAATTAACTATTCCCTGTACATCACAGGGATTTTTGTGGCACTAACGTCATCCTCCATAAGTGAATACCAAATCCAGTCAATATTTTGTCACTCCCAAGCCTTGTCTGGACTACCTGAATGCCACCGCCGGGCTCTGCAGCCCTTCCAGCGCAGGAGCAGGTATGGACAGAGGGAGCCTGGTGTGAGCTGGGCGCTGGGGACAGAGGAGGGACCGGCAGGGACCCACGGGGCACCCTGTGTGCAAATGCTGGCAGCAAGAACTGGGATGAGATGCAAACTGAGACAGTGGCAATGGAACCTTACAGATGTGCTGGAGTAAGATGATTTTCTTTAGGAGCTGAATGCACCCAGAAGTTTGGGAGTGCTGGAGGCTCCGCTGCTGTGCTGCCCCTGCTCCCACTGCCCGCTCCAGACAAGAGCAGATTAATTAAGTGGCAGGTCAGACACGAGAAGGTGAGAGGGCATTTCCCTCCAATCCCAGACATTTTGCCCATTTTATACTTTGCAAACTTTTTATATAAGCGTGGCTGATT